TGGACCTGTGCTTAGTGTAGCAGTTAGCAAGTTGAAGAGAGAAATCGGTGATTGAATTTGTTATGGTCCCTTTCATGCAAATACTCTTGAGAAAAGTATGAATCTCTTCTCCCCATGGCTATGGGTTAAATAGCAGAGCAGACCGGGCTCACTTGCCTGGAGGTAGCAACCAGTTGAGAAGAAGAAAATATTCTGAATTTAAAATCAGCCTGAAGAAGGCTGAACTCCATGAAGTTATCTTGCCCAAGACACACAACTGCTGCCATAGCTGCAGCACATGTGGTATCCCTACAACTCTAAGTCTTGAGATGTAATAAATTTTTATTCTATTAATATCATTATGAGATTAACATTTTATGATGGTTCTCTTTAAATATGGTGAACTTCTAAGCATAACTTGGATATGCCACAAGGCCGAAAGTATGGAGCATCCAATGAAGATCAAAGTCACTATTCAGTCATAATTGATCTGGTGAGACAAGCTTGCTAACACCACATCAAAGTGCCCTGGTTCCTCTTGAGTATGACATTTATCTAAATCGTCACAACTCTCTCTCTCTCTCATTATCCACATTTGGAACACTCCCAAAAATTAACCTAATTGAATGAAGGGTCTCATTTTGAGAAAACGTTCTACTCCGAAATGTAATTTCACACTTGTAGTAGATTTGTGTTCTACGGGAGGTAACTATTTATAACGACGACAAATTACTTCCCTTGGCAAATCTCCAATTTTGTTCTGTACTTTGAGAATGAAGAATACGAAATCACCTTGGCTTCAAATCACTATGAGGCAAAATGACAAATTGATTAGGCTACAAGAAATGCCTTATACGATTCATGCAATAATAATTAGATTATGTAGTTCCCAGGCATATACTGGTTTCTTTCTTCATAAATATTCTGTGTGTTGGTAATGAAAAGTACAATCATCCTGGGTATGACGATAAACAACATCTGGCAGCAATCCCTCTGATCGGGAGTTTGGAACCTGGAACCACTTCTTAAGTGCTGTTGTTTCCAGGTCTACTCTAACAAGGAGTGGCAGCACCTGTCAGGGTCCCAGCTATGGGCAAATAGTGAACTTCCAAACAAAAATCAATACATTTTTTATAATAAAATGAGCAATGCATTTTTAAAGGAAAATGACAATGCAGCACAAAAAAATATAAAAATACATTTTTATACTAAAATTAACAATACATTTTATGATTTACAAACCATATATTCAAGAAAACATATCTTTATTCAAAAATTATAAAATTATGTACAAAATATATTCAATTGAAGCCATAAAATTGCATTCAAAACATTTAGATTTCAGCATTAAATAACTCATAGAAGTTGGTATGTCACTAAACAAAATCAACAAATAATAAGTACGAAAAAAGACTTCCAGATATTTAAACTGGTAGGGAATCAGAATAGATGAGTTCTTCATGCAGTTTATGAGCATATGTATGTATGTGTTATATATATTCCACAAAAGGTGTTTTTTCCAATTGGCTATCACTTTAACTTTTATACATATACCAGAACGCAATCTTCAGGCAACTGATATTGTTTTCTGTTAGACCAATTTCCTATATACACCAGAGTGATTTAAAATATAAAATCTCAGGTAGTCAGCATACTGACCAAATTCATCATGGTAGGTACAGAAATGCTTGACAGGTGAAAGTCTCAACCAATACACCAGCATTAAAAAAAAATATTGCAACCAAAACACCCAAAAGAAATATCTCCCCATACCCAATAAAAGTTGTCCGTCATAAGATGTTCAGTACTTTTTTTATATTCAATGCCTGTTTTCCACCCTGTAGTGGGTAATTTACTTTTAAAATATAATGGGTCTTGCTTAGATTATTCTCTATTCTGGGTGATATATTTTTGTTTTTTTTCAGATGTATAAAGCATATGGTGGCCTTTTTTAGTTATTTTGTATTTATTTTTCACTTTTATTTCTTCAAAACACTGTAATATAAAATAGTTACAGGATTGAGTATTAACCTTTTGTTTTAGTATAAATATGAATATAAATATATATATATATATATATATATATATATATATATATATATATAAGTATAAACATAAAAACAAATGATATTAGATAAGTTCTAGTTATTCTTTTCAAACTCTAGATATCAATAATTGATGATGTAAAGCATTTTCAAAGATACAGGCATCATTCAATCATGATTTGAACCTAAATGACTAATTGGTACTCTAGGATTCATGAGGTTATATCATTTCCAGGTGTATTTGCCTGCAGAGAAAGCTGGAAGAAGAAATCCATGACAGAGTTATGTCTGCATACATACTTCTCAAAGAGAAAGAGTTAAAAAATGGTGAAAATTTAGTGCAAAGAATACACACATCCATTGTGCAGGGAATACTTTAAAGACTATCATGCTGGGAAAATATATTAAATTCACAAACATGACATGTTTTATTTCCATTTTTCTTTATTTTCTTAATCTAAAAGTTTTAAAATATAATTTTTATAGTTTCTGTATTTTATAAAAATTTACAACAAAGGGGAAAAGAATTTTGTGTGATGTGTCTCATCCTTTGCAGTTTCTGTATTTTAGGAAAATCTATGACAAAGAGGGAAAACTTTTTGTCTAACACATCTCATCCTTTATAGTTTCTGTATATAATTAAAGCAAAAATAAACATAAAACCTACCCGTCTATATTTCCGAGATGAGGTATTATGTACATTATTTACATTATTCGGACTATTGTCCTCATCTTTGTCGCAATATTTATTACAACGTTTCAGCTATTGTACAATTCAGCCTTCTTCAGGTGATTGGAATGTCAAACTGAACCCTTTATTTCGCTCACTGGGGTAGACTGTTCTAGTTCCACATGCAGTGGATAAAGGCATTAGTTAGATCCAGTGACAGGACTCAAAGAGTGTGAGTTCAATACCCAGTTAAGGCAGTGGAGAACTTTCAGGGGGTAATTAATAGGAGATAACTGATAAATGACATCCATTAAACATGGCACGTGGAATTAAAACACTCTACCCCAGTGAGCGAAATAAAGGGTTCAGTTCGACATTCCAACCACCTGAAGAAGGCCGGAGCATACAATGACCGAAATATTTATTATAAATATGGGGACAAAGATGAGGACAATAGTCTGAATAATGTAAATAATAAAACCTACCCATAAAAAAAGATTTTTCTTTTTTTACCCATTTAGCATGCATGTTTGTTCAACTTTATCTGTCATTTAAGAGTTAAGTATTCTTTCAGTTTGTTCTTTTGTGGTAAAATTATATTATCCACAATAACAATATTGGATTTTACTGTATTATTGTTGAATTCACAAAATGTATGTGGGTCCTATAAAGATGGATTCAAATTAATATGTAATTGTATCAGTTGCTATTGTAAATCAATCTATTCTACCAGCGTTATTCCCTTTACAGATGATTTGCCCATTATAAACTTATTTTTCTCCAATTTTAAAAATTATTTTCTATGGAGCAAATAAAAGTGCTTTTTGGCATAGATTGAAAATGGGACACAATCCAACTGAAGCAAAAAGGAAACATCAATTTGGTATTCAGCAAAGGAACTCCTAACAAGCAAACAATGCAAATTCAGAAATTTCACTCCAGAGATGAGACTATTCAAAATGACTCTTAAGGTGGACCCACAAACTTCATTCCTGATGATTGATTAAGAGAAATTATGGAAGTTAACTATGCAATAATAACTTGAAGTCTTTCAGCAAACCTTGGTCTTTCTCGTATGACTTTTAACTTGTAATTTGACTGTGATAAGTATGCCACGAAGATCTGTTGGAACTGCTCAGCCACCTGGACATATTTGAGAAGGATAGTAGAATAATTAAGAACCTAGACTAGTTGTAAACTGCTCGCATATGGATAGAAAATGAGTTCAGCAGATATATAAGAAATAGAAAGGAGTGTAAAACAATGATGTGTCCTCACTGGATTTATTCAACCGAGAACAGTGAGGCAATTCTGAGAGAATTAGAAGTCCTACCAGCATTCATTATTGGCAGCCACAATAACATCATCAGATATGCAGATAACATAAAGCATTGAAGAAGGAGGCTAATACTTCCTGGAATAATTTTTCTAGTTACTTTAGCAATGGATTTGGCATATGAGTCCCACTTGAGGTCTGGAATTAACTTGAGATCCAACAGTCATTCAAAACATGGTTACTCATTAAGAGTGAAACAATGAGAAGACCTTTCTGAATCATGTCATTAATTTTAAAGAAAAATGGCACTTCATAATTATAAATGAAAATTTTGATTAAAAGAATGTTCCTTCTAGAATATAATGTTAACATACATCAATAAAAATACTAACACTAGCACATGTAAGCAAAAGATTGTAACATATCAAGAGTTCAATGATGAATAAAAGTGAAATAGTAAGATTTGAATTTCTGTAATTGGTTGACCATCATAGCCTAATTGATAAGGCAGATGCTATAGAAATGCAATCTCCTGAGAATAGGGGATCTGAGTTCAAGTTTTGTCAGAGAATTATTCTATGTTTCTGATCTGAAATTAAGAAAGAAATACTAAATCAAGAATTAATAATGTTCTTTCAACTTAAAATATACTATGTTATATTGTCAAAATCCATCTTTTTTCTGTGGAATACAGCCTTTCATGATATTTTTCCTCTGTAGGGGAATGATCTTTGTAAAGAAGTCCAATAGGCTTATTGATTGATTTGTTTTCTATGGCCTATCAACCTTTTTGCAGATTATTTAAAGCCAGAAAATATTTTTTAGATTCTAAAAGTTTTTTTGAGATAATAATGATTTAGTGATACAAGTCTTACTAATTAAACCATAACTGGGGGAGAAGAGATAGATTCATACCTTTCTCAAGGGTATTTGCATGTAAGTGAATATAACAAACCTGACTGAAATTGGAGCTTATCTCTCCGATTAACAATTCCAAGCCATTATCCATTACACCACCTGCACATCCAAGCTTACAGCACCTAGTATTCTCAAGCAGTCACCCATCTAGGTATTGACCAGGCTCAACATTAATTAACTTTAGTGATCATATGGGAAGTGGTATTTTAACACTATATGACTGTAAGCCAAGTTTGATAATTCAGATATTATATTAACTAGAGTTTATTTGGTTCTTTCTAGAAACATTTCTTATGTAGAAATTAATTAATTTATGGTTGATAATATCAAAGTTCCTCCATTTGTTTTTTGTACTTTTTAGATTTTTGTGTTGTTTTTTCTGGGTTTTTTTTTTGTGTGTGAGGGTGATTGTGTGCTGTTTTCTTTTTGTTTTACATGCACTTGATTTTTTTTGTGTGCTTTGTGTTTTTTGTTTTATGCATTTATTTTTTATTTTTATTGCATTTTTTTGTGTTTTAAATATGCAGTTCAAATAATGCTATAAGTCACTAGTGTCACTGCTTGCTTTTATGTTATGCATAACAAACTGTTTCCTTTTATTGAAAAAATATTATTTACTCAAATAACCAGAAGGCACTCAAATGGCACATAGATGCCATTGTCACTAAAAACTAACAATCAGTTCAGAGATAGGTGATACTGATATAGTAAATGTGTAACTTTTGATTTTTCCATATATTTTGGATTATTGTCTTACTACAGAGAGTCTCTTTCAATTGAAAAAATTGTGGATTCACCCCAAAATTTAATCCATAGTTCCTTGCCCCATGGCCTATCTTCCACAAAACTGTATTGAAATTCATAGAGATATTGTGTATAAAACAAGTATAGGTAAAAGCATAATCGTAGTACAACTTCATTGTCAGACATACAAGGTGGTATAGAAAAGTTATCAGCCTAACTAAAGGATAACCAATGATAATGGGATAATGAAATATTTCCATACAAAAAAAAAACATTTGGCATTCATTGGCTAGTTAGCATTACTGTCAGGTGAAATCTATAAACATTTTTAGATTTCTTGAGTTCACTAACTGTAATCACTCTTTCTAATATTGATGGCAGTTTCCTTACAAATATTTTGTCTTTGACTGTGGAAAGTTAATATCTTGATTATATTGTTTTCTCCACTAGTTACATGTGCTGTGCTACCCATTTTTGTTGTCACTGCTGTTGGAAGTCTTCAAGTGATGTGATTTTTGGTATTTGGTAAAGCTCTTTGTGATATTGTAGCACCAGTCTCTAGAATCTGATGAAAAATTTACAGGATTCATTAATGTTCAGCTTCCTTATCTCTTATTATTTTGTCTTTTGGTCATGTGGGGATTTACCATCTTCATTCTATCATTGGCTTCTAGAGGAAAAATAAAACCACTACTTTCTATCTGGAGATTCATTTGATATGAGGTAAGGTATATTCAAATATTCTAGACTCATCATTTTACATCTGTGCTTATAATGATTTTCCAAGTATAGCTTAGATGTGGCACAAGCCTGAAAATAGGAGGCACCCAATGAGGATCAAACTCACTACTCAGTCATAATTGTTCTAGTGAGACAAGCTTGTTAACCATTACACCACCTCAAGGTACCCTACATCTTTGCTTATAAATGTGCAAAGCATAATCTAAAAACAGATTGGGACTCTTGCTTCCTTATTATATAGATCTGGTGAAGTTTGAAATGAATCGGTTTTGAGGTCTTCACCAGACATTTGAATCAATTCACCCCAAGCAAGGTGATAAGATGCAAGGGGCTGCTGTGAATGAAAGAGAATGAGAAGACTTTAGAAGGAACTGGAAACCCAATCCTAAACAGGAAACAAGTGATAAACTTCTAATCCTACAAGGAAGAGTTTGAACCAGATGATAGATGAATTTTATGGACTGATACAATTCCTCTATGATATTAAAGCAGCCAGTGGTTTCAAAGTTTGGAAGACAGCTTCTTATAGATGAGAAAGAAAAAGTCCTTCTTGATATTGTCAATACTCAATGAATAAATTGCATCTGCAATAAGGTAATCCTCCTGTTAGTCTGAATATTGACAGCTGAACAAATGAAACATTTTCAATATGGCTGCCAGTATTTTATAGAAGCCACCAACTAGTGGAATTAAACAAAAACCAAAAGGCAAGGTAAATAACTACAACATTAACACATATAATCATATGCTGCTGAGAAACCAAACATAGTAAGTGTACAATTTTCTATTTGATAAATACACCATTTCCTGGAGTTGTTTCATGACATTTCTGCCACCATTACACTTAGTACCAGAAAAAAAAAAACAAATTAAGTTATTATGAGTTGATTTTCATAGTATGGTGATAGTTTGTTAGTAATATATTCACTACTACTTTCAACATAAAAGAACCGACTGAGATGTCTCTTTACATGTGAGGATCTTCAGGACTACCATTTAATTTCCAAATAGCTTTTATGCATGTTATAACTGATTGATTTGAGATGTACTTTTGTTTCATGTTTCCCTCCCCACATCCAAAAAAAAAAAAGAAAAGAAATTTACTTTTGAATTCAGGAAGAGAATAAGATACTATCAAGACTTCAGTCTCAATGTCAAGTTAGGATTTATTATTTTTAATTTTCTCATTGCTTTTTTGACTTCCTCATCATTAGGTTAATTTTTATTTAAGTTTTGAGACAGATTTGAGCATTCAAATATATTTCGGTGGAGAATCTATTTCCTCTGGTATCTTCAGTGTGACTGAAAGGGGTTTTTTGAAATTTGAGAATTTCTTCCGTTTTGGCTTTGATTATATTATAAAACATTTTTTGTGACTACGATATTTCTCCCGTTTAACCTTTGATTATATTATGAAAAGGTTTTTATGACTGGGACATTTCTTCCATTTTAGCTTAGATTATATTATGAAATATTCTTTTCTGACTAGAAAAATCATCCCGTTTTAGCTTTGACTATATTCTGAAAGTTTTTTTTTATGACTGGAACATTTCTTCCATTTTAGCTTTGATTGTATTATGAAATGTTGGTTTGTGACTAGGATATTCCTCCCGTTTTCGCTTTGGTTATATTAAGAAAGGGGTTTTTTATGACTGGGACATTTCTTCCATTTTAGCTTTGATTGTATTATGAAATGTTGGGTTGTGACTAGGATATTTCTCCTGTTTTAGCTTTGATTATATTATGAAAGAGTTTTTGAAGACTGGGACATTTCTTCCATTTTAGCTTTGATCATATTATGAAATATTGTTTTGTGACTAGAATATTCCTCCAGTTTTAGCTTTGGTTATATTATGAAAGGGTTTTTTATGACTGGGACATTTCGTCCATTTTAGCTTTGATTGTATTATGAAATGTTGTTTTGTGACTAGGATATTTCACCCGTTTTAGCTTTGATTATATTATGAAAGGGTTTTTTTATGACTGGGACATTTCTTCCATTTTAGCTTTGATTGTATTATGAAATGTTGTTTTGCGACTAGGATATTTCTCCCGTTTTAGCTTTGATTATATTATGAAAGGGTTTTTTTTATGACTGGGACATTTCTGCCATTTTAGCTTTGATTGTATAATGAAATGTTGTTTTACGACTAGGATATTCTCCCGTTATACTTTGGTTATATTATGAAAGGGTTTTTTATGACAGGGACATTTCTTCATTTTAGCTTTGCTTTTATTAAGAAATGTTTTTCGTGACTATGATATTTCTCCTTTTTTAGCTGTGATTATGTTATGAAAGGGATTTTTATCACTGGGACATTTCTTCCATTTCAGCTTTGCTTTTAGTATGAAAGGGTTTTTATGACTGGGACATTTCTCCCATTTTAGCCTTGATTATATAATGAAATGTCTTTTATGACTGGGACATTTCTTCCATTTTAGCTTTGATTGTATTATGAAATGTTGTTTTGTGACTAGGATATTTCTGCGTGTTAGCATTGATTATATTCTGAAAGGGTTTTTTAAGACTGGGACATTTCTTCCATTTTAGCTTTGATTGTATGATGAAATGTTTTGTGACTAGAATGTTTCTCCCGTTTTAGATTTGATTATATTATGAAAGGGTTTTTTTTATGACTGGGACATTTCTTCCATTTTAGCTTTGATTGTATTATGAAATGTGGTTTTTTGACTAGGATATTCCTCCCGTTTTAGCTTTGGTTATATTATTAAAGGGTTTTTTATGACTTGGACATTTCTTCCATTTTAGCTTTGATTGTATTATGAAATGTTGTTTTGTGACTAGGATATTTCTCCCGTTTTAACTTTGATTATATTATGAAAAAGTTTTTTAAGACTGGGACATTACTTCAATTTTAGCTTTGATTGTATTATTAAATGTTGTTTTGTGGCTAGAATGTTTCTGCCGTTTTAGCATTGATTATATTATGAAAGGGTTTTTTTATCACTGGGATATTTCTCCCGTTTCAGCTTTGATTTAATTATGAAATGTTGTTTTGTGACTAGGATATTTCTCCCGTTTTAGCTTTGATCATATTCTGAAAGGGTTTTTTAAGACTGGGACATTTCTTCCATTTTAGCCTTGATTGTATTATGAAATGTTGTTTTGTGGCTAGAATGTTTCTCCCGTTTTAGCTTTGATTATATTATGAAAGGGTTTTTTATGACTGGTACATTTCTTCAATTTTAGCTTTGATTGTATTATGAAATGTTGTTTTGAGACTAGGATATTTCGCCCGTTTTAGCTTTGGTTATATCATGAAAGGTTTTTTTATGACTTGGATATTTCGTCCATTTTAGCTTTGATTGTATTATGAAATGTGGTTTTGTGACTAGGATATTCCTCCCGTTTTAGCTTTGGTTATATTATGAAAGGGTTTTTTATGACTGGGACATTTCATCCATTTTAGCTTTGATTGTATTATCAAATGTTGTTTAGTGACGAGGATATTTCTCCCATTTTAGCTTTGATTATATTATGAAAGATTTTTTTTAAGACTGGGACATTTATTCCATTTTAGCTTTGATTGTATTATTAAATGTTGTTTTGTGGCTAGAATGTTTCGCCCGTTTTAGCTTTGATTATATTATGAAAGGTTTTTTTTATGACTGAGATATTTCTTCCATTTTAGCTTTGATTTAATTATGAAATGTTCTTTTGTGACTAAGATATTTCTCCTGTTTTAGCTTTGATTATATTATGAATGG